ATGCCATTTGACAAGAGGAAGGAGCGGGATCCATTTGCTGACGCAGTTGCCATGCATACAATATTATAATATCTCGATGGCGGTGGGAAATCTTGCGGGAAAAGGGGGCTAAAATCTACACCTGTTGCCAGTGCGTTTGATGTAGGAAGCAGAACTTTACTTCCTGGTTGCTCCTCCTCCTGCTTCTTCTTCTTCTGGGTTCATTGGCATTTGAGCATTTGAGTCACATGTGGCTCACGTCCTGTGTCCTGTGCATCCGCACCCCCCTCTTCCCCCGGGTTCCTCGACTAAGCCTGTCATCTGGGCTCTTTATTTCATTTTTTTTTAGCCTTTTTAGCCGAAGCCAAAGACAAAAGACGTTTGAGGTTGATGACACCCAGTGGCGGCTAAAAAAAAAAAAACAGCGAAGCCCATAGAGGTTGGCTTTTACAGTTGCTTGAACTAGTTCTGCCTCCCTCTCGCGCCGCTCCCTCTCACTCCCTCTCGCTGCGTCGAAGGCACGTGGCCAGAACCAACAGAAGTTTGAAAAAGGGGCGCAACTTTTCAGCCAACTGGCTGGATTGCATAATAGCCACTGGACCCTCTACACTTGGAAATGTTTTCAAAAGTTCTACAAATTCTGCAATAAAAGTGGAAAAAGTAAGTTGTTTGTGGCTTTCTATTTGTATTTATAATTATAATCAGTAGTATTTGCCAACCTACCGAAAATTGCACTTAATCAAGTAATTCTATTTCAGATATTTTCCTTTATATTGATATAAGTTTAAAGTATAGATAAGGATTACAAGGACTAAAATTATGTACTCCATTTTTTTAATTAATAATTTTTAAGTAACTTTTGTATGTAATAACATTTTATTAGAAAAATTGTTATAGCTTTAAAATAATAATACGTTTTTCACCATTTACAAAAAGAGTATTGAAAAAGAATAAATACAAATTCATAAATTAAGCAGTGCCTTTAAATCTATAGTTCAAATTTCTGTTCCTTCAATTTTGGTGAAGCTGTAATTATATGACTTGTTTTAATTCACATTACAATGTCAAAATAAGAGTGTAAATGGCAAAAAGAATATTTCCGGGTCTTGAATAGTTACGTTTGTTTTTTTTTTTTGAAAAATCACCCAATTTAATTTCTGTTAGTTTTAGTGTAAGCTGGCAGCTGGCCAGGTTTACTCTGTTGTCGGCCGTTTTGTTGGCAAATCATAAAAATATTTATGTAAATTAATCATTTAAACGCAATGGGATGGACCGGGCTGGCTGCTGCTTGGGCATGCTCCACACGCGCTCACTTTGCTAAAATTCATCAGCTACACTGCCCAACAAAATACAAATTATGCCGGCGGGATTAGCATAAATTGTGTGTTCGTTCGCCGACCGATCGCAACGATGCCCATAAGCATACGCGAATAGTCGTGGCTTTTGGACACGGCCGTGTTTTTATTTTCTGGCCTGTCGTCGTCAGTTTGGCTGCCAATCCAATCCAATCCGATCCGATCGATCGGCAGATCGGGTAGATCGCATATATGGTCGCTATATGGCCGACTGATAAGCCCTGCTTTTGGCATGCCAAACATGGCCGTGCTCGCACGAAATTCCAACTCATATTTATGTCAAAATCCATCAAAGCTTATGTCGCCGCACAATCCGTTAGGGGCAATGCCAATCCAGCGTATCTAGTTGGAAATCGGCTTTTGGCTTTTCGTTTTCAGTTCTCAGTTTTCGAGTTTTGGTGCCCGAACAATGCTACGCAAATCCGACAGTGAAATAATGTGGGGACACCGGCGATAACTCAAATAAATAAGAGTCAAAAATAAAAATAAAAAAAAACAGAAAAGATACAGATACAAAGTCACACACTTTGTATCTGTAAGCCGCACACAATGTTGACTGCTCGCCGCTGAATGTTGAATTCAAAATTAATACATTTCAATGAATAACAAATGATCTAAATGATTTGTTTAGATAGTTCTCCTGCTCAGAAATCGGACGTCAGTATAATACGGGTAGTATGTGGGTTGACCGGGCCAACGAAACAAGTTTCGTACTGAGCTTAAATCGTGGCCCAGCATTTCCTGCTGCTGCCATTAAATGTTTGTGGAATTATATTCCACTTTTTCCAACCTCTATACACTGCCAAAAAAAGATTGAGGGATTAACAAGAATAAGAGGAGCTATTCGCTGATCGTGCTAACACTCTTTCAATTGCACTAAATAAAACCATAATTGTACATATGTACAAGTATGTACTTGAAAGTTGCATCCTCATTAAGTTTATTCTATTTAATACAATTAAAAAATTAATAAAATTGTTTCTTATCTCTTTGGTTTTTTAATTTTCAAATATTTTATCATATTTTATTATTATACTTTACTAAGTTTCTGGAACTTAAATGAAATACTTAAAGCATTCTTGATAACATTCTTCTAAATATATTCTGCGGACTTTAGTCTTAATCATTTTATAATTATAGAAATATTCATATTGTCAAGTCTAAAAATTAAATTCATTATTGTAGTTATCTGTTGTTTCTTTTTTAAAAATTGTTCCTCGAAATATTTAATTTTATTTTATTTATTTCTCTGGCCGAGTGCACCGGCAATCTTTAGCTGAGTCAACTTCCGACGTGACAACAGTCAGTCAGGCAGTCGAGTTGCCCCCGAGCGATCTCGAAGCTGTGGGGCCGCAACTATACTTAATCGATTGAAAATTGATTCTTGTAAATAATTTCAGTTGACGTCAGCGTTAATTACATGAGCGAAAAAAAGCGCAAATCTTTTGCACGACTCTCTCGAGCTGAATCACTCGAATGCACGTGGCTGATTTATTACAAGTCCATGTGGGTATATGGTTATATGGGTATATGGCTAAATGGCTATATAGCCACCTCCACAGACTCGAATCGGAATTAGGGAGGGAGGGGGTTCGAACCTTTTTGCCCATTAGCCCAGCCTTGACCGCCGGCGATGTCGAGTGGCTCAACTGGTTGACAGACTGACTAGAGATAGTCGTCTATATATACAGTGCTCGCCCCCCCAGATTATTAGCATATTTTGCGCCGATATGGGTCAGCCTTAGCTGTGTCTCACTGTGTTCGCTCTGAAATCTGGGTTGGGCCGCCAAACAAAGCTCTTTTTAAAGCGGGGGAAAACTAAAACTGAACGATAAATTCGCTTAGCGAGGAGTACATTAAATGGTTTATATTTATGTGAAGTGAATACAAACTACATAATATGGCACTTTAGTTTCGAATAATTTATTTTAGCACACACAGTCAGTATAAGTCCTCTTTAAGTTTATAAATGCCTTAAATACAAAAATTAAATTATTATTATTTATAAACCCTAATACTTTCTATGTACACAATATCTAATTTTCACCGAACAAACTTTACACACAATATAAAATAAAGACCTACAAATGTTTTCTAATCAAAAACCTTTTATTCAAAACAAAATTAGGAAACTAGTTACTGATAAGACCAAATAAGTTTGTTTCCCTGTCCGTTAGTTGGTTTTGATTCATTCATTTTATCAACAATCTTCAGCATTTTGCTTTTCATTAAAAAAGAGTTTTCTTTGTGTTTTAAGATTTATTAACATTTTCTTTTAACAAATTTTAAGCTATTAAGAGTCCGTTAAGGCTTTTGTTGTACTATTTTTTGTATGTTTATTTCCCTTTAATATTTGAATACTAATATATCAATTCCAAACTCAAAAGAAAAGAAAGATATTTGTTGAACAAAATGAAAGTGATTAGGCTACTTTAACTTTAAATTACTATTCAAAAGTAATGTGATCATAATTTGAACTACAGATACATTGGATTGGATTCTTTCTGTTTCTTACGAGAATATTTATTACTTTATTTCAGGGTATCTTAATTCCGATCAGTTCTGAGTTCACTGCCCATTTTTCCAATAGATGTTCACCGCTGTCCATTGGATTACTGGAGTAGGTACTTTATACGAGTGTTCTCCCCCGACTTAGTCAGCAGTTTAGGTCGTGTCAATGCGATTGGCATTTAACGAGCTTCATTGCTTATAGGGTTAACATTTTGGCATAAGTACACACCCATTTTCTATTTTTTCTCTATGTATTTAACTTCGTTTTTTTAGTGTTTCTGCCAGCACATATATCTGTGTCGCCCATCTCTGCTCTGGGCCCAACTATCCAACTATCCCCGGCTATCTATCTAACTATTGTGAGTACTTGTCATTTAGTTTACTATTTACTGTCACGCTTTTGAGTGCCCCTCGAATGGAAATGGGAATGGGATTGGGTCTGCGGCTTACGGGGCTTGGTTAAATGGGAAGGGCCGTCCGAGAAATATAGAGGAGTGTATATGGAGTTTGGGAGAACAGGGACTGACCTGCGATAAAGCCAGTTGTTTGACCAGTGAATCAGAAAGCAAAAGTCTTTGGGTTCCTCATCATGGGGGTTAATAAAAGTGCACGTTATTTACTTAAGTCAATTTATTTGTATTTAAATTTTTATTTTCGTTTACACATAAGTATATAGCTTATAGTATTGTTCAGTAAAAGACAGAATATTTTCGTACATAAAATTAAGAAAAATAATTTCATTCAAATGTATTTCACATGTGTCAGAATATTTTTAGAGTTTCTAAGAGTAAAATAATTACACGCTTCGCTTACTACATCATTATATGATTACAAGTTTATGTTTACCATTTGTGAAAATATTTATTGCTTTTAAAAAATTGAAAACTGTAATAAATAAATAATGACAATATTTAAGGCATGTTATTACTTATGGTTTGTATATTAAACTTAAGGTACAATGCACTTATTGTTTTTTATTTTACGGAAGTACTTTATTATTAAAAAATTAGTATGTAAAAAATTTTTTTGTAATTTTTGTAAGATATCAAAAACAAAAATTAGATTTCAATTCTAACTCTGGCTAGTAATTGATTGCCATTATTTTTCAAAATTTTTTTTTGGTAGATAGAAAATAGCATCATTATTATTTCCCTGCTAAAATCGGTTCCATTCTGCCGATGTTTGCCAAACATCAGGCGGCTGTGAAGTGGACTTGGCCACCTCTCCTCCTCTCCTGTTGGCCAACTCCTGGTCCACCTCCTCCCGATCCTCCAGCTGCTGTCCTATATGTCCGTTCCAGTTGTCCAATGTCCAGCGATGTCGGTTGTCTGGCGACAAAAACGGCGCGTCAAAAGCAAACATTTTGCGCGGCACAGTTTTGATTTATGAGCTGAAATTAAATTAACTGCTGCAACAGCAGTGCAGAAGTGAAGGAATTTAAAGCGTTGAAATCAACAGAGGGGCAGCAGCAAAATATTGCAATGCAGTTTCAGCCTGGTCTCCATCCTTTTGGCCAAATTGACAGTGGCAAATACGCGGCGAAAATTGCGAAAGCCATAAGGAAACCGTTTGCTCGTTTTATTCCCATTTTGCACGATAAAGTAAATATATATATATTTGTATATATACAATTTTATTCTCCCTCCTCCATTTTTTCAGTTGATAAAATTATCATTGTGGCCTTTGGTGTGTCATTGCAAATTGTGTTTGCTGGCGTTATTATTTTTTATTTCGCTGCTTATCGGGCATAGCACAAAAAAAATACAATAAAAAAGGAATGCATTTCTCCTATCAGTTTGGTTCAGTTCGAACTCCATATATATATTTTTTTTTGTCATTTCCAGACAGTCGTATCGTGTTAAATGATTATTGTAAATAACTTTTCTGAATTCGAGAGCCTTTAGTAAATATCAATTTGAAAGTAAGTAATACAACTTATCATTCCACTTCTTTGAAAGTTGATATTATATTATAAAGAAATGTTTAACCTTTTTCATAACCTTGTCTAACACGAATTAATGTAGGCAATCTTCTCCTTCATTTGCTTCTCAAATTACAATTAAGCAATTCTGCCTGTACTAACCAATCAAAAACAAACAATTTCCATCAGACGAGAGAACTTTAGCAATTAGCAATCCAAAGTGGATGCCATTTAGCCGGGAAAAGAGAGGGATATACTCATGTAGAGAGGGACAGAGCACCCACAATCCATCGTTATCTGTACTTGGCAATTAATTGAAATTGATATTTAGTTAGATTAAAAATGTTTGTTAATTTATGACAAGTAGTTTTCAAGTGACTCGGATCAGCCGCACCTATATCGCCCTTCACTTAAAATTAGTCATTCCGAATCGCTTTTCCATATCTTATCGTTAGCTGCTCTGCATTTTTTAACATTCAATGCTCAATGGTTAATTTTTGAAATGGAAAATTTATTAACACAATTTGTTAAATTATATTTTTAAAAATGATATTCTTTTCATATCGTGCATTGTTCAGATGGTTTCTGTTACTTTATACAATTAAGCAAACCGTGAAGAGATGAAAAGTCGCTAGAGACTCGCGCGCGTTTTCTGGCGATTTACAAGTTGAGTTTAATTAAATTGTTGTTTAAGAATTCTCAAATAAAACAGACAAAAATGACATGGTATGCGGAATGATATGCGCTCAAAGATTTTAAAATAGTTTAAATTTTCGAGTTAAGATTCAAATTTTATTTATTAAAATGATTTATATAAAACAGTCATATGTTTTATATATGTATTTGTTCAAAAGAATTAACTTTTGTTCAATTTTCTTACCAACCAATCAAAAGTCGCTAGTGACTTTAACGAGTTTATCTAGCTTTTTAAGTCCCACTTTACGGACAACTTTAGATAAAGGTCTTGAATTAAATTACTATAATTAATTTTTGGTGAACATCACTACTGAATTTTGGTTAACATTTTAATAGTAACTCTTACTTTCCCATCATTTGCAACTTCCTTTTGCGTTTCATCAGCGTTTTCTCATCGTTTTAAAACGCACTTTTTGTTTGTTTTCGTCTTTCTTTTTGGGATTTTTGCATTTACTTCGTTGTTTTTTGGTCTTCCAAGAGCACGGTATGAAGTTCCTACGAGTTTATAATGAACGTAGGAACTCTATACCTCGCTGATGGCAAAAACCAGGTAAAAAATATCTTGGCAGCGTTTCCCTTTTTCTTTTTCACAAAACTCGAACCGTAAAGAGGCGAACAACAACTCACATACCAGCTTACAAAAATTCCAACTCTTTTTTTTTCCTGTAGTATTTCAGTTGTTGTTATTCTGCTGATGGGATTCTCTTCATGGGATTTGTGCTGGGGGAATTTCTAGCTTGATGATGATGACGACGACGGTTATATGGTTATATGGCTATATGGCTATATGGTCCTCCGCCGTTTCTCGCTTGGCAGCTTTTTCAGCGTTGTTTTTTAGGGTTTGGCGTTTTTTGCTGGATCAACTTTTTTGTTCGATTGAATTTAAATTATTTTCAAATCATTATTAATAATCAGTGTGTCTATTATTAGTTAAAAATATAATAGTTTCTTTATGCAAAATGCGATTTCTGTGGAAAGTTTTTATGTGAAAGAGTGTTTCTAAGAAATGAATATAAAATGACATCATATTTCTGGAAATTTTTTATTATTTTAAAGGAAGTTTATTTTTAGTAAATTTGTTGAGGAAGTTATGTCAATTTCTGGGCTTAATCTGTAATGTTTTTATTTGTTTACTTTTAGAGAGTTTTTAAGAGGAAGTAATCGTTTTTTTCTCAAACGGGATATCAATGAATTTTCGGACCTTTGTTTATTTTCTGTACAAATTTCCAAGAATGTTTTTGAAGTTTATTTTCTTATTATTTCTCCAGAAGCTTGAGTAGAAAATTTTAATAAGTTTCTTGGTTTACATCTTTTTTGAAGGTCTTCTAACTATTTTCTAATTTACTCTTTTTGGTTTTAAAATAATTTTTAAAACTTTCGTCGTTGTCTTGTCGTTTAATCGTTTGTTTATTTTATTTAATCCTATTTATTAAATTCATGTTAATATAAATTTCCGAATTTAGATTTTTAACGTTTCTGATTTATTTGGTTTTCTCCGTTTTATTTTTATTATCAAAGCTTGAGTGTTTCTTTCAACACAACGTTGTTAATTTTTTATTATATTTTTTTGTGCTTTTAAATTTTTTTTTCCGTTTATACTTTGTTAAATGTTATTTATTCCAAAATTCTTCTTGACTACTACTGCAATATATTTATTTTGTTTATCTTTCATTTGGTTTTACTCCGCTAATTTTATGGATATAAATTTTCCTTTTATTCTTCTTCATCACTTGTAAATTGTTTTTGAGTTTTTACGAGTTTTATGTCAAGTCACGCGAATGCGAAAACACGGAACGACTTGCGAGCGTTTGATGCGCGACTTTGGAGCTCCGAAACCCAACTGAAAAAAACGCAGCGAAGTCGCGCAGAAAATAACTCGAAGTGCGGCGATGTTCGACGTCGACGTCGATAGAGGCAGCGACTGCAGCAGAGGCGACGGGCAGCGACGTCGACTGCGGCAGAGCGTGGGTTTTTGATCGCGCGACTTTAAACGCGCGCAGAAACTTCAAGTAAAGTCGCGCGCAGCTATGGAGAGTTGTTTTTTTTAGAGTGTACAAGTTCTTTAGACTGGGTTTGTAGATTTTTTAGAAGTATGGGTTTTTTGTCTTAGTATGTGTGTTGCAGTCGCTGTCTGCGTCGACGTCGACGTCGACTGCGGCTTTATCGCTATCAATCGATAATCGCCAGATTAGAAAACGCGTCGACGTTCACTTGTGCACGTAAGCAGCGCTACAAGTGCAGCACACACACACACACACACCGATAAACCTCAATATCTGACCGATCAAGTAATTCCAGTTTATACTCTTTTATTAACAATGCGTTTTAGCATTAGAAAAACACAAGGAACCTGAATTTATTTAGATGATATTTTTCAAATCAAAATTTTAGCTTTAAGTTAATTTTTGAAAAAAATGTTTACAAATCGTTCGTAGGTTTTTTTTTCCAAAAATAACAGTTATATTCGTCCGCGTTTTACAACCATCGTTTGAAAGAATCGTTTGGCGACTAAAACCGAAAACTGAAAACAGAAAAGCACGCGGTTTCGTGGTTGGTTGCTGTCGACGTCGCTGCCGTGGTGGGTTTCTTTGTCGGTGGTGGTTTTCCAAGGTGGTGAATTGCCCACTTGTAGCCGCTGCATTGCTCAGATACATATACAGCCAAGCGAAGTGCATATTTTGTAGCGCTGTCGCTCTTGTCGCCTTGTAGCCCAACATGACGCAAGCAGCGGTGAAAGCCGCTCTGCCGACGTCGACGTCAACTGCGCTGCTTGCTGCGTGGGCGCCGCACGCGTTTTCAACTCAATTAATATCACCAAAAAGCCAAGAAACTAAGCGAAAAAAAGCGTCTTTTAATTAATGAAACAATTAAAAAGTTTTCAGCCAAAAAAAGGCATACACCGAAAAAAATGATTTTAAGGGGCATTTCAAGGCCAACGGCAGCCAGCAAACAACAACAACAAAAGCACCGGAGTTCGATGATCTGTTTACGATTGTTTTTGCCCGGCGTCGTCATCGCTTGTTGTTGCTGTTCTTGTTGTTGTTGTTGGTCGTTGGCTTCGCTGGAAAAAGCAGCAACAAAACTGAAACAGCTAAGGGCAAAATATTGAGCGCTAAAAAAGAATCTTGAAGATACATTTTTAAATGTATACCCCAAGTTTGGTTTCTCTTGTTTTGAACATTGCTATTTCTTGTCCTTATTTAGAAAAATCTCTCTTTTTCCACTCAGAAACTGTTATTTTCTTACACAAATTTTTTTTTTGCATTTCTGAATAAATATTCGTTTCATAAGTCCCAAAATTAATACAAGCATTGTTGAAAAAAATTAAAATATTACATATCTCAAGAATTTTTTTTCATCGTGATGATTTTGGTGCTTTTTGTAAACTAGAATGGAATTTTATAAGCGTAAATGAGATATAAAATTCTTATTGTCTATATCCTACTTCAATATTTTAAGCCAAATTCAACATAATGTTGTTAGAAAATTCAGGATTTCGATTGAAAGGGCTGAGAAAAAAACCCAATTTCAAAGTAATATAAAAAATTTAGAAAAAAATATTAGAACTTAACTATTACAATGGACTCGACTGTGCCTAGACCTAGCGCAGTCCGCGTCGCAGTCGCCGTGCGTATGTACAGTAGCTTGGCCTCAAGTGTATTTTCACAGATATTTATCTAGATACGCGCGACGAACGCGCGCTTTTTTGTA